CACTGAGCAGGGGGGCCTGACATGGGGCTCGATCCCAGGACCCCGAGATCCTGACCTGAGCTGAAGGCAGACGCTTCACCCACTGAGCCGCCCAGGTGCCCTGCCTGTTTTCTGTTCTATATCTGATTTGTTCGTAGCTTTGGCAAACGTTTCTTGAGTCCTGACTTTCTGCCATAGGCGCCTGTACTCTTCACTGATCCCAGAGCTCAGGGTGTTTGCCTGGGGCACTCACAGTTTTAGGGAGGCAGACGCTACAGAGTAAATGTCACATGTTGGTCACTAGAGCTCGAGGGGTGGCCAAGGGCTGCAGAGACATGAGGCCGCAGAGTAAGGCAAGGCAGGGCTGGGAAGGGAGCACAGGCTCTGAAGGGGAGCAGGCTGACTGCCTGGGATGAGAAGGCTTACATGGCTGGAGCCGAGAGCAAGCGGGTGAATAGATTGGGGGGTGAGCTCAGGAGGGCTTGAGGCCCCCATGGAGACTTTGGCATTTCCCAGTGAGTTGGGGGTCACTGAAGCGTCCTGACCTGCTCCAGCATGACAGCTGAACAGTGGAGGGAGGTGATGGTGGCAAGCCACCAGATCAGTTGAGTGCCGCTGGGTGTTCTGTGGGTCCTTCGCTTTCTTGCCAAGGGGTGTGTGCTGGTGTGAAGTGGGATCTGAACCAATGCTTTCTCCCACAGTCTGGCCAGTGGTTGCGGTACTACTTCCTGCCTGTGGTCTCTTGCCTCTTCTTCACATTTTCCTCCAAGCCAGTGTCCCCCTGGGCGGCCTGGGTCCTTCGGGCCTTCACCCACTGCAAGGGGAGAGGGTATCGCCCATGGTATGTAGAGTGTGGCTCAGCCACTGGGGCCACGGCTCTGGGTCCAGCTGGCCTGAGCCTGAGCCTCACCACCTCTTGTTTGCTGGAAGGCCAGGCCTGGGCTGTGGTCAGGGCAGGCATGTGGCTGTTCTTGTCCACACCGGAGGTGCCCGCTGGGTGGTGCTCCAGGTCTGCTCTGTGCGTCGGGGTCCCTGACTCCTGCTGGAGAGGCCTTGCCCGGGGCCCCCCAGGTTGCCTGTGCTGCGCTCACTGCTTCGGCCATCCCTGCTCTCTCTGCACTCACTGTGCCCAGCCTGGTGGCTGTTGGGGTGCTGTGTCGTCTGTTACCCGAGGTCGTGCTGTGTGTCCTTCACAGCGTTAGAGCCACAGGCCCAGCTCCTGTCCGCAGCCAGCGAGCAGTGAGCTGCGCTCCCTCCTGTTGGCTGTGGTGGTGCAGCAGGGGCCTTCTGCGTGGGGTGTGGGTTGCAGAGGCGTGTGGTCCCTGCCGAGGAATAGGGACAGGTGCCGGACGTGGGGCGGGGCTGCCACATGGCCTCAAGCTTTGGGGCAGTGCGGGGAGCCAGCGTCCCAGGCCTGAGTCCCCCTGTGCCAGCCGACTGGGCAGGCAGGCGGCAGACCTCCCACGCGGCTCGGGGGAGCCTGGGGTCACAGGTCGATGGCCTTTCAGGGAAGCCTTGGGGTCTGACGTGGACTTCATCTCCTTCAACAGCGGAAGTGCCGCCTCCGGACACAGAGCTGGCGTCTTGTGAGAGCGGAGACTCTTGGGTGTCAGGATAGGGCGGTGCCGCCCCAGGCTGTTGGTGACACTGTGGGCGGGGTCTCCCCACCAGGTGGTGCAGAAGCTGACGCAGATGGTGGGGAAGAACGTGAAGCTGTACGACATGGTGCTGCAGTTCCTGCGGACCCTCTTCCTGCGGACCCGCAACGTGCACTACTGTACGCTGCGGGCCGAGCTGCTCATGTCCCTGCACGAGCTAGACGTCGGCGACATCTGCTCTGTGGACCCCTGCCACAAGGTGGTGGCCTTGCCGGCCCCTCCCCCCTCCCCATCCCTCCCTGTCCACGCCCGCCCCCCCAGTGTGCCAGCCCCTGCCCCACCACTGCCAGCCAGGCTTTGGCAGGGGGCCACCCGCCCTGCACCCCCTTTGTTTGCCTGCTCCGGGTCTGCCTCTGCTACAGCTGGGACTGGCCCCGTGGCCGCTCCTGGACGCTTGCTTCTTTCGGGTTTTCCCAGGCCACTGGCCCTCCCCTGCTCCAGAGCCCCTGGGGGCCCCTTTTGTGCTGTGCTGGGGTGTAGCTTTCTGTGCAGCCTGAGACACTGTCACCTCCCGGGGGGCTGTGTGGTGTCAGGATGTGAGACTGTAGCACCCACCCCCACAAAGGGGTCCGACAGGGAGGCCCCTTGAGAACAGAGCACAAACACCGTCTCCTCCATGCACCGCCTGGCCCGCTGGGGATGTGGGACCTCAGGCCTGTCTGCCTTTGCACCATATCGGGCCTGGACCATGTGAGGCAGTGAGTCCTGCTGCCTACGTGAAGCTTGGGCAGCGGCCGCTCCTGAGCAGTGAGCACGAGTGCTGTCTGGAGGCTGTGATCTCTGATCGTGTCCTGACCGCGCTTCCTCCCCGCAGTTTACCTGGTGCCTGGACGCCTGCATTCGTGAGCGGTTTGTGGACAGCAAGAGGGCCCGGGAGCTGCAGGGGTTTCTGGATGGAGTGAAGAAGGGGCAGGAGCAAGTCCTGGGGTAAGGTGCAGCCTTGTGCAGGTGCTCCCCGGCCCCCAAAGTCCTGTCCACAGGTGTTCGGATGAGCAGGCTGTTTCTGCAGTTTGTTCCAGTGTGTTTTAGAAGTGCCTGGTGCTCGTGCGCACGGCTGAGAGGCCCGGCTTCTGCGGCTGAGGCTCTCAAGAGTTTGGGGGGAGCCTGGGCCTGGGCTGGGGCTCTGGTGTCTGCAGTCGTTGGGGCCTGCCTGCAACAGAGGGGTGGGTGGTTAGCCCCATCCCGGGGGCCCTCTGTGCTGGTGGGATCTGGCTCCCAGCACCACCTTCTCTCTCTGACGGTCTCTGTGGGATCCTGGGTGTGCTTACAGAATCAGGGTCAGGTTTTCAGAACCAAAATGGGAGCTTAATTTTTTAAAAAAACTTTTTTGACTGTTCAGCATTTTGAGTAAGTTAAAGATAAGTTATGAACGGTGAAGTTGTTTTGGGAAAAAATCCAGAGCCGATGGGCAGGCTTGCTTCTCCCCAGGACAGTGGCCATGCCACGTTAGCGCAGTGTGCTTGTCCTCACAGGGATCTGTCCATGATCCTGTGTGACCCCTTTGCCATCAACACGCTGTCACTGAGCACCGTCAGACACCTGCAGGAGCTGGTCGGCCAGGAGACGCTGCCCAGGGTGAGTGCGCTGGGCTGGCTGCATGCTGCCTCCTGGGTAGATGCATGGGTGTGGACTGTTGGCGGCCAGGTCTGCTGGCCCAGTGAGAGCACGTACTCCTCCTGATGGGTGGTGGGCGTGTGGAGGCTGTGAGCGAAGCTGATGGTTCTGGATGCGCCACGAGTGATTTCACTGGGGGAGGGAGGCGGCCCAGGTGAGCATGTGCTGAGGCCTTCGCTTTCCCACAGGACAGCCCTGATCTCCTCCTGCTGCTCCGGCTGCTGGCCCTGGGCCAGGGGGCATGGGACATGATTGACAGCCAGGTCTTCAAGGAGCCCAAGATGGTAACAGGACGGGTGGGATTGTTTCCGTGGCTTTCTCGAGAGGCTCTGTGGGCCCGAGGAAGATCAGCAAGGTGGGGTCTTGGGAGGTGGGAAGGAGGGCCAGGCCTTAGGTTGATACCCAGAAAAGATCAATGTGAGGTGGGTGGGCGAAGGGTGGGGTACAGTGCAGGACAAAGGCGGGGCTGTGCTGGACCAGTTCTGGGTTTTCTCCCGGCCTAGGAGGTGGAGCTCATCACCAGGTTCCTGCCCATGCTCATGTCCTTCGTGGTGGACGACCATACCTTCAACGTGGATCAGAAGCTCCCAGCTGAGGAGAAAGCCCCAGTCACGTACCCAAACACGCTTCCAGAGAGTTTCACCAAGTACGGGCTCAAGGGGCGTGGGTGGGGGCTCCTCGCCCCCTGTGGCCCCCCTCGGAAGGCTGTGCGGAGCGTGCGGCTCAGGGGCGACCGTCCTTGCTGGTGCAGGTTCCTGCAGGAGCAGCGCATGGCCTGCGAGGTGGGGCTCTACTATGTGCTGCATATCACCAAGCAGAGGAACAAAAACGCGCTCCTCCGCCTGCTGCCCGGGCTCGGTGAGTGTGCAGGCCCGTGCCCTGCCCGCGTCCGCAGGGCTAGCTGGGTTCACTTCTCGTCTTGGTCTTCTGGAAGTCGTTCTGGTACAAGAGCGAGTGGGGCCCGGCTTGGTAGACCCAGACACCCTTTGCCGTGGTCACCGTTTGTGGAAGGACCCTTTCCACTGTGGTGCAAGGGCTGTCTTACTTTTACCCTACCTGGAGAGGGAGTGGAGCCCCTCAGTCCTGCGACCGTGCAGAGAGCCCGCCCTTGACAGTCCCCGGCTACATTGGGTGGGGGCCAGCTGGGGTGGGGGCCAGGTTGCTTCCTGGTAGGAAGAAGAGGGTGGGGCCTGCGTGGACCCCTTCAGGAGTAAGCTGCAGGCCGAGCCGGGGAGAAGGGTTAGTGTTTGGGAGCACCTGGCCTTCCCTCTGCCGGCCCCGGGCTCGTTTAGGGTGTTGAGGCTGCTTCATAGAGACGTCGCATGTCCTTTGCTAAGCATGTTTCTGGGTCATTGACAGGTCTGAGGATGGTGCATGTGTTACGTTTCCTGTGTTCTGTTTGCGAAGGAAGCTGTTTGTGGGTCTTAATTTATATCCAGCTTCCATCTAAGTGAACAACATGAACTTACTTTCTTACTGCTCCAGAGGCCAAAAGGATGAAGTGAGTGTCCCGGGACTACAGTCCAGGTGTGGGCAGGGCTGGCTCCTTCTGGAGGCTCCAGGGAGAATCTGTCTCCTTGTCTCCAGCTCCTAGGATCCGCCCACACCCTGGCTCCTGGCTGCATCTTGCAGTTCACCGTCCCAGGTGCTCTCACCCCATGTCTCTCTGACTCCGGCCCCCGGCCTCCCACCTCCCTCTTACAGGTGTTGGGTGTTGGGCCCATCCTGGGGCTTCTTACCGTGTGAGGTAGCGCGCTCACCAGCTCCTAGATCAGAACGTGGACACATCTCGGGGCCATCCTCCTCCTGGCCACAGAGGCTGGAGCAATTCAGTATGTTTCTGGAAACTTCCAAGAGTGTAGTTGCAAATAATTTGCATTTGTCTCATCATTTCTATTCATTTCAGTACTTTTGTTTGTTTCTCTTGTCTAACAGTGTCGGCTAGACACAGGGGTGTTCTGCCTGCATCAGGAGCACCCGCGTCTCCCAGCCACGTGCTACTGGCCCGTGGGTGGGGATGCAGGCCTTTCCTTGTGTTTAGGAAGAGTATAGTTGTTCCTTCTTTTTTTTAAGAAAAAAAATTTTTTTTAAATTGATTCACTTGAGACACAGAGATACAGAGAGAGAGCATGAGCAGGGAGAGGCAGCGGGAGAGGGAGAAGCAGGCTTCCCGTGGAGCAGGGAGCCCGATGCAGGACTCGATCCCAGGACGCCGGGATCATGACCTGAGCCAAAGGCAGACGCTTAACCATCTGAGCCACCCAGGAGCCCCAAGTATAGTTGTTCCTTTATGTCATTAGTGGGTGCTAGTAAGAATGTATGCCAATTAAAATTATTCCTTTCTGGTTGCCTTTTTTTTTTTAAAGACTTTATTTACTTGTCAGAGCACAAGCAGGGGGAGCGGCAGGCAGAGGGAGAAGCAGGCTGCCCGTCGAGCAGGGAGCCCGATGTGGGACTCAGTCCCAGGACCCCAGGACCACAATCCGAGCCGAAGGCAGACACTCAACCGACTGAGCCACCCAAGCGTCCCTATGTTTTAGCTTTTTATTGTGAGGATTTCTGATGAAATCACAAGTAAAGAGCACAGCATGGTGAAGCCTGGTGCCTATCAGCTGCCTACATGGGGGCCTGCGGTGACGGTCTGGACATAATTGCAACCGAGAGGGACCTAGCAGGTGTCTCCACAGAAACCACGATGCAGCCGTGGCCACACATGGGGCCAGGTGCTGCTGGTGGCCATGATGCCCCAATTGCCGGGTGACATTCTTCTACGAGTAGTTTGCTCAAATCAGGATTCAAACAAGTGTCTCACTTCCGACTCTCGTGTTTCCTTGTTGCCTCTCGGGTTTCGCATGGCCTGTAGGGTCTGTGGGGTTTGTTGGGACTTTGTGGGCAGTGTCCCCTGTTGCCGTGACTGTGGGCCTGCCTGCGTGTCCTGTCCGCTCAGATGCGTGGCAGGAGCGCGCCCCGGCTGCATCTGATGCGCCCGGGTCAGCTTGCGCTCTGGGTGCCGCTGGTGTTGGCCGGGTCCACTGTCACAGAGTGCCCTGGGGCGTTTCTCGAGCAGCTGGTATAGCGCTTCTGTCCGCGTGCATGTCCCCCTGTGGCCTGCTGCCCTCCAGCTGGGGCTCTGACCCCGTTGGCTGTGCACGTAGGCGTTCCTGTCTCTGCTTATCAGTGAGGTTCCTTGGTAGTCACCTTTGCTGTTTCTTTGAAGTTTTGGAGTCCCTGGCTTCAAAGCATGAAGTCATTTTCTTCTGTTGTGTTCCTTCCAGAACCGTGCGGATAGCAGTCTGGTCGAATTCACGGGCTGGTGCCGTGGCACTTGCCTGGGTTTTTCTTTGCTTTCTGGTCTGTTCAGTTTTTCTCTCTCCTGGAGTCCACTTAATCCAGAGTCCCTTGGCCATGGGTCACAGCCAGTGATGACGGGCTCTCGTGCCCTGCCCAGCCCAGTCCTCGAACTGTAGCCTTGCTTCACTGCCTAGGTCTTGGCCCCTGGCCGCCTCCCTGCCCTGTCCACCTCGCCTGTGCAGGCCCCTGATTCTGGCTTGCAGGAAGACCGGGCCCCCTGTCCTCAGGCGACCCTGCTGCTTTGCGGCCTCCCCACCATCCACCGGTCCAGGGACGGGGATGGCAGGGTGAGCAGCGCTGACCCCTGCTGTGTTTGCAGTGGAGACCTTTGGCGACCTGGCGTTTGGTGACATCTTCCTGCACCTGCTCATGGGGAACCTGGCGCTGCTGGCTGACGAGTTCGCCCTGGAGGACTTCTGCAGGAGCCTCTTCGACGGCTTCCTCCTCACAGCCTCGCCCAGGTGCCTGCCTCCCACCTGTGTCTGCACTGCCAGGGCTGTGGGCCTGGGAGCAGGGGGTGTGGCACAGCTGGGTCGGGGGTCGGGGGCGGGGCGTGTGGCCCAGCTGGGCAGCGGGGCGGGGCGTGTGGCCCAGCTGGGCTGGGGCGGCTCTGGGTCACTGCAGTGCTGCCGTGGCCTCTTCCAGGAAGGAGAGTGTGCAGCGACATGTGTTGCGGCTCCTCATCCACCTGCACCACCGGGTGGCCCCGTCCAAGCTGGAAGCCCTGCGCAAGGCGCTGGAGCCCACTGGCCAGGTGGGTGCCCCAGCGCTCGGCCTGTGCTGGCCTGACCCTCTCCTTGTGTGCATGTGCCCTGCGTGGACGTGTCCCGAGTGACCACGGGGTCTGCTTCGAGTGGCCCTGGGGCCCACCCCAAAGCCACACACTTTCCCCCACAGAGTGGAGAGGCAGTGAAGGAACTTTACTCTCAGCTCGGAGAGAAACTGGAGCAGCTGGAGCACCGAAAGCCCAGCCCAGCCCAGGCCACAGAGACTCCGGCCCTGGAGCTGCCCCTCCCCACTGTGTCCGCTCCGGCTGGGCTCTGAGGCTTCACCGGGGCTGCTCAGGACTGGGCAGGGCCCCTGGTGGGTCTGGAACCTTGGCTGGCCAGGAGGAGCTCCCCTGGACTTGGAGTGTCAGGGACCCCACCTCTCCTGAAGGCAGACTGGCTGCTCATGGGGCTGGGCTGGATGGAGCTGAGCACCACCCCTGCCCCCGGATGTCCTGCACGTGGGGCACCCTTCCGCTGTGCCTCAGCCCCACCCTGACCTGGATCCTGGGACCTGTGTTCTTGCTCCTCGTAGGCCCCTGTCTGCTTCTTTGGAGGACAGCTCTGGCTCTGATGTGCCCAGCTGCCTCCTTGAACTCACTCCCAGGCTGTGGAAAGCTTCTGGCTCATTCCTGCCTCCTGTTGTGGGTTTTCACTTCTGTAGGGGAGGCAGACTGGCAGCAGTTGGGATTAAGAAAAAGCCACCTTTTTCCATGGGGAGAGGGCAGGGGGACCCAGGCCTGAGGGAAGCGGTGGGCCCAGCACTGTTGGCACCGATTGGCAGAATTATGTGGCTTGCTGGGTCCGATCATCTGCAGGTTGAACCTGGCTTCTTCTGAGGAGCTCCTGAGTGTTTCACAGTGGATGGTCTGGCCAACCCACGGCCCCACAGGCAGCGAATTGTTTCTCCCCTGGCCAGCAGCACCCCGTGTAGCAGGCGTGGCTGAGGAGTGGCTGCCTCAGTTTACCCTTGGAGCGGTGTGCTCAGCTGCACCGTCTTGGTCGAGTGAGAGCTGTTGCACACAGTGAGACTTTCGCTTATGTAAATAAAAGGTGTTTAGGTAAATCCAGTGGATGAGCTATTCCTGGGCATGCCTGAGGGTTGGATGTAGTGCAGGTGGGCAGGTACCTTTTTTTTTTTTT